GCTGCCGCTTCTTTTGCGGAGGCGGCGGCATTCTTTGCTGCTTGCATCCTTCAAATCTCTCTCTCTCTCTCTCTCGGTCTTCTCCTTTTGAGATTCCTAAATAATTTGGTTTGATTAATTGATTGATGATTGACGATTGGATTGGGGATTTATTTATGTAAGCGACGCAGGTGGGGGGGTTCGTCGACGCGTGGCTTGATTGAGGACCCGGACGCATGTAACGCGGACGCGTGGCAAGAGCTAAACGGTTGTGAATAGACGAAGCGGCTTCTATTTTGCTTGAGAGTCGGCACGTGACAAGCGAATGCTCTGCATGATCGACTCGTGTAGCGGGTTATCCTGATCCAACGCGAGAGATCGTACGGAATTTGATGTCCGCCAAAGGATAGAATTTGATGTCCGCCGAAGGATAGGAATTGCACTGGAGAATACTAAAGGTGGAAGTTAAGTACTTTTAGAATTTTTGTTTATTTATTATCAGAAAATTAGCTCTGGGATTAAAATTAGTATTATAATGTGACCTACCTATACTTTAGTACTCTGGAAATTAAGTGTTGTTTATTTATCAGAAATTAATTGCTCTCAGGCTTTCAGTCCATTTCTCATAATGGAATAAAAGTAGTGATTTTTATTTCCAAGTTACGTATATCCTGTAGTGGGCTTTGAGCCTACTTCTTGGATCCAATGGCTGGTTTTGGGCTCTCTTGGTTGGGCAATCTAGATATTAGCATGAGAGAGCATTCAGATTTTTGCTGCCTTTGAGTACTGATACTTATGTATTTTTGTTGCTCCAATTTCTTAGTAAAATTATATGTAGTCATTTTAATTTATATGGTGACAATAATTTTTAAGTTATCATATATTTTTTTAAATTTTTATCCTTGACTGGATGTTTTTAGTCAATTCTTATTGTTTTTTTACCAACATCATCTTAGCACTACAATTTTTAGAATAGGTAAGAGTTAAACGCTAAATTAATAATATATAATATATATATAAATATATAATTAATATTATTAATATTTATATATATATATATATATAGAGAGAGAGCCAGAGAGCAAGAGAGAGAGAAACTTACTGTCCAAACTTAAAATGGAACGACTCCACTAATTTCTTAATCATACTGATGATCCTGAGTTGAGCCCCTACATGGGATGAATTCCTTCTGATTGAAATGCGTATACATAGTTCCCTAAAACACCCAACACATCAAATTTCAACCGGCTGAACCCATCATGGTTTGACCCTCCGCTCAAGCACTATGTAAAAAGTTTATATTCATTCGCAAACCGCTTAAATGGATACGATTGTGAATGACCAGGGTCAAACCACGACGCCGGTCACCCTAAAATATTGGGTTCCGATTTGTGTTTGGCGGGATTTTAGAATAGTAAATCAACCCGGAAGTGCGATCATTCACATATGTAGCCTCAATTAACATGATCATCAATTGACTAAAGCAAACTTAGTAGGGCGATCCACTTAAGTTGACATAGTCTCTCTCTCTCCTCTCTCTCGTCTATATATATAATTATAGTATATATACTATAATATAATATAATAAATATATATATATATATAAAACCAAAAACAATTACGTTTTAGCTTCCAGCCCTTTTTGTGGTTTTGAACTTTAAGGATGTGATTTAGAATTTTTAAAAATTTGAGAGTGTTTTTTAAAAATTTTACCTTTAAGTTTGGTAGTTGTAACTTTTATATTTCATGTGTTGGTGATAATTTTAAATGTCAGGATATTTCTTACAACTCTAAAATTTTGAGGGTGTTTTTTACAATTATTAAAACTTTGGTTATTTTTTGAAAAATTTAGATTTCAGTTGGTAGCCAATAATTTCCATATTTGATGTGTACTTGTTATAAATTTTAAAATTTTAGAGTTTTTTGTGATTGTTAACTTTCGAAGGAGTTCCTTTTGTAATTTTTATAATTTTGAGGTTAATTTTAGCAAATTTTGAATTTTTAGATGCTTGATGGTAACTCCTTGAATTCATCTATGCCATTTATAAGTATAAAAATTTTAGAATTTTAGGGTGTTTTTTTGTAATTTAAACTTTGAGGGTGTTTCTATAATTTTGAGATATTGAGGGTGTAAATTGTAAATTTTAAATTCTTCATAGGTTGTTGTTAGTTTATTGATTTCATGTTTTTTTATAAAGTTTTAAAACATAAGAAATTTTCAAGTACATCATGGTAATTCATTGAATTGATCTATGTTGTTTGCATGTTTTGAAATTTTAGAATTTGAGGGTGTTTGTTTGTAATATAAACTTTTGAGGTTGTTTCTATAATTTTATTGATGATGAGGTTGTTGACTACAAATTTTAAATTCTTTGTAGGTTAAAGTCTTCGTAGGTTGCTGTTAGTTTCTTAATTTCATGTTTGTGTTAGACCCCCCCTCTAGGGGGTGATTAGAGTCTTATGCTAATCTAATCCGATTATATACCAATTAAAATTAATTAACAAGTTATCCTAGCAAGTATGAAATACAACATGATATGTAAGCTAGGACAAGTAATATGAACAATGAGATATATCCTATATGATAAAAAATATATGCAAGGATATATAAACTAACACAAGGGTGATATAATCAAACTACAAATGTGATAGGGTAAAATATACAAGAGTAAAGGCAATTGGCGATATAAGATAAATGCATAAGCAAATGCGCCAATGACAAACTCAAACACACTCAAATGATCACGGAGTTCGGACCTTCCGTCCTACGTTTTTGCTCCCCACTCACGGGGAGAAATCCACTATCACAATCCGGTTTGGAAGCCGGAACTTCTACACACTCGGTTTTCTAGCTAACCGAAAACTCTACAACTCACACTCTTGCAAACCCACTCTACACCCTCACAAGTGTTAGACCTAGCCGTGTCTCCCTCAAGTGCTCGGTTACAACCTCTCCCTAGGTTCGTCAACCGACGACACTCCTCTTGGGACGATCCCCAACTCTCACCGCACACTCCTCTCGATGTACAAGTGTATTACAAAGTGATCTCACAAGATAGGCTCAATACAGAGTGTTTGCTCTCTATAATGGATGAGAACGAATTATAAGCTCACTCTCTAAGTTACACAAACCCACAACCTAATTATACTATGAATGTAAATACAATAAGCTCAATGGTTATGTATGTAAGTAATGGGAAAATCAAACAACTAAACTCAATTAAAATCTAGCATATAGAAATTATGAACAAACCAATAAATAGCTAGAAATAGAGTTTAGGAATTCTTCTCTGAAAATCAAGTTGGAGAGGAGGATTAAAATGAAGTTCAAACACTGTAGATGATCTTCTCTACTTGTAAAACAATCTTCACAAACCAAACAGACTTTGAACCCAACTAAAACCCTTTTCAAAACTCTTTTAAAAATCTTTAAAACTATCCATTGGGTTGCTTAGATAGAAGAGGGTTTGAGGGTTTATATAGGAAGAGAAACAACAGCAAAAACCACAAAGAAAAAGACAAAAAAACCAACAGAATCGAAAATCAGATTCTGTACAAAATAGCCGTTGGAGCGAACGACGGTCGACTGTGGAAAACTCGCGGTCGACCACGAGCCAGCTTTGAAACTCAGAAAACTTTCAGATACTTTGGCGGGCGACCGACGGTCGACCATGGCGGTCGACCGTGAAAGTTTCTGTTGGCTCCACAGGCTAAAAACAAAAGCGTGGTCGACCGTGGCGATCGACCGTGAACTGATATATGAAATTGACAGGTTTAAAAACAGTTTGCTGATTTTAAAACACTGTTTAAAAATATCAAATAAATTCAGAAAAATGTAAAACTTTGAGGAATGATTGTAAACATGATAATAAACATGCTATAAAGACTGGTTTGCAAAAAGGACTTCCTAAATGTAAAATATCATCATTTTGCAAAATAGTCCAAAACATGAAAATGTGAACATATGAGTTTTGACATTTTAGCTTAAACAACATTTTGAAACCTTATGAAATGATTGTATAGACTTGATAAAAGATATAAACTATTGTTATGAGTCTATAAACAATGCAATATACATATTTTTACAAATACATAGAATATGAAAACATATGAGTATGTATAGTGAATATATATTGTTCATTATCTATGAATTAAACAATATTACCGCTGACCGTCTAATTTTTTATATAGGCTTTATTTGAAACTTTTTTGTGGTAAGTGTGTATTTATATATATATAATATACTATATATATATATTATATATATATATTATATAACTTATATATATATAATTAATATACTTATATTATATAATTATATATATATATATATATATCCTATAATATAATATATTATGTATATAGTATATATATATATATATACATAAGAACCATAGTAAGTGTGTGTGTATGATTGAGCTTAGAGTACTAACACACATAATATAAAAACCTAAACTAAATTACCCAAGCTTGATCTTGATCTTCAATAAGCTTGACTTGGTACACTATGCGGATGAAGCTGAACTTGGATCTTAAACTTAAATTGCATAAGCTTCACTCCACAATTCCGCCAACCTCCATTTGATATTATCGTTGAAGCGTTATTCCATCCATCCTCCAACATATTATTTGTCTAGAATAAATATAAAACATAAATACTAGACAAATAATATTAGATGTAAATTGTTTGTAAATCACCATCAAAACAAGAAGGCCAACAGTTTGTTGTTTTAACTTTGAAATATGAGGATGTTTTTAATAATTTTGAACTTTTAAGGATATTTTCGTGTAATTTTAAAACTTTATTGGTTTTGTTGTAATATTTCATATATTATAGTATGTTACCTACGTATAATTCCTTTACCTTAATAAACTAATAATATAAAGTTGTTTTATTTATTTTATTAATATTACTTTTTAAATTGTTGATTTATAGATAGTTCACGTGGGATTAGGATATGATGTAATAATGATTAGAATATATTAAGATTTAAATAAAATATTTAAAATAGTAAAGAGTAATATTGACCATGAAAAGTACTTCCTAAGCTTGTGCATTTAAAAGGAGTATGATATGATTAAATCCATAAAACTAATAAAAGACTATAATAGCTTAGCATTAATTGATTATAATTTAGAAATAATAATCTCTGATGTTAATAATATTTATAGGGTAAAAGAATACGAAGAATTATGTACATAGAAACTAACAGAATGTTTAGAAATATCCTTCAAAAGAATCAAGATATTTCCATTTTAAATGAGAAAGAGAAGGAAATAAATCTAAAATTCAAAAAATGTTCATGAATTAGTTGAATTGACATTAACATAAGGTATATCTATGAAAGAAGTACCGACTGAGTTTCACTGAGGAATAATTTAACAACTTTATCCCAATTAAAAAAGAATTCTCTATGGAAGATATACAAAATTTAGTAAGTATTCATAAATTTCATAATTTGTTCTTCAAATGTTAAAGAAATTAAATATTCATATTATAATCTAAGGCTAATTGACAATGAAAAATATAAGTATTTAGTTCAAATCCTTGTGAAAAATGATAGGGATCGAGAAAATATAACATTTTTAACATAACAGAATCCTTATTGGATGCACATCAGAAGAATTCAGTGTAGGAAAAAAGATAATTCCTAATCTTATTTAAGTAATAAATTAGGACCACAAAGAATTTCATATATATGAAATTAACACTGTAGAGAAAAATCAAAGTCTATATTTCAAGAAGTTTGTGTTGAATATTAGAAATACATTCAACTTCTTTGTGGAGTTAAACAAGAAGATGAAAGATTAACAGGCCCATAAAAATAACAGCACAAAAAACTTAACTCTAGTTTGATGTCATAATCGATGTGGATGATGAAGACATTATTCCAGAATTACTTAGGAAAAAGATAAAGATGAAGAAGGATTGATCAGAGCTCAATAAAAAATACACCGGAATGAATAAATGACAATCTTTTTTGAATATATTATAGAATAGTTTAATTATTTTGAGTGAAATTAGGGATCTTTAGAATGGATTTTCATGAACTTTTTTAGTACTTTTATATGCTCATGTTGATGCTTTTATTATGTAAAAGTATATTAGAGTTAGCATTAATTTTTAGTTTATAATTTTTTATGAAGTCTATCAATGATTAGAAACAAATTTTATATTCTCTTTTGTATCATTTTAGCATACTTTTAATCAATCATCTTGTCTTATTGGTTTTAAATAATCACATTTTTGTATAACACTATTTTAATATTTTTTACTTTTGTAACACTGTACTTTCTCGAGTAAAGCTTGGTTTCATGTCAGTCCAAATAATATGAAAATTTAAATTGCCTTCAGATTATATTTGTTTCCTATCAATTTAATTATCAACATGAAAGTTTAAATTCGGTGTAGCCCATTCAAACAAACATCAAAGAAAAAAATAAGCGTAATGTTAAACTTTAGAGACAAAAGTGAGCAAAAACTATTTTTTGAGAAAAAGGATGGATTACTATATAGTAATCCAGCCAGCTAAATATAACTGGTTGTTACATATAAAATGCACATTTCCCAACCAAAAAATGTGCACAAAAAGTCAACTGAAAATACAAAAGCACCAAAACCCTTTTGTACAAAGATTAAAACTCCCAAAAGAAAGCTTAACTACCACAAAAGAAGTATCATATCCAACAACAATCTTACTCATCACCATATAAACTAAAGCACTGAAGATTGAGGTTAATCCAGTTGAATCACGATACTGTTCTCCTCCCCTGCAGCTCCAGCTGGCTGAATCACCCCCAGTCTCTCATTCTTCTTCTTTCTTCTTGCTAACAATCTGGCCGCTCTAACTGAGATTGTAGAATCTAGCCAAAATGTAGAAAAAATCATAATCTTATTCAAAATCTCCAACGCTCTCTTCTTCTTGTTAGAAAAGAGTCTATCATTGCGCTCCTGCCATATGCACCAAAGAAGAGCACAAAAGAGAACGTCTCTTTTCATCTTGCATTCCTTATTTCCCCCAGCAGTCCAATTAAGCCAAACTTCTTTTAAGGATTTCATTTTGAAGTCTTTCCCAATCTTTAATTTGAACTGAATAGATTTCCAAAGTGAGAATACAAACTCACATTCAATAAACAAATGAGTATGACTCTCTTCAACTTTAGAACACAAACCACAATTCAGCTCCAACTGAATTCTTTTTTTAGTCAAAATATCTTTTGTATTTAAACTCTGTCTTAAAGCTAGCCAAACCATAATTTTCACTTTTAAAGGAATGGAAAGCTTCCAGATATCTGCACAATCAAAACGTAAACCTCCATCAATAAGAAATTGATAGAAAGATTTAACAGAAAAAAATACCATTTGTTTCCCACAACCAAATTATGCTGTCTTCTTTTTGAACAAAATTTGTATCCTTGATGAGATTCAGTAAATTCAAAAACTGAAAAACCAAACTTCCTGTCAATTGCCTCTTGAACTTAATATCCCATATCCAGCTATTATTCCTTTTTTTCCTCAAATTGCTAACTGAAGCATAAAAACTATTAAAGTAGAACGGAACTAAAATACCATCTTTTGTATTTCATACTTGGATAATTTACATTGCTTTGTATTTGATTTTCGAATAAAAGTTCTATACGATATAAAGACTAAATATCTCTTATATTATTATGTAATGAAATATAATATAATTATCGTTAAGGAATAAATATATTTTAGCATTAGATGTTCATTTTTTTTCCTAATCAAATTTTATAAATTTTTTATTTTAAAACTATTAAATCTATCGGCTATTTAATTTTCTAGGATATCTGAGCCATGCTTGAGGGTGCTCCCCAGCCACCGCCGCAAGTTTTGACGAGTGCAGAAGTTCCTTCGGTCGTCGAACCCAAAAAAAAGAAGAAAAAACAATTTTGCCCTTCGTCTTGTCTTAACCGCCGCATCCTTTTCTGTACGCGGTGTATTCGAAAGAGACCCCAAAATTTAAAAAAAGGAAAATTCAGACCAAGTCCTCCAATTTCAGAACATCTCCTGCCTACTCCCCTACTTTAAAAAGAATTAGATAAAAATTCCAGATAAGTATCCACCAGCTTCTTTCTCAGCTTCAAAGATTCTCCATTTTCAGTCTCAGTACCAAAAAAATTGAAAGAAAAATCATCCCAAATTTCGCCCCCCCGCCTTCTCTTTTGCTCTAATTTCTTTGATTTTCTTTTTTTTTCCTGGGTCTAAAAGGATGATACCTAGATGTGTATCGGCGCTTGTCAAGCGGAGTTTGGGATCCCAGAGATTGAACAGAACGGTAATTTTCAACAATTATTTGCATTTTGATATTTGTGAATTCAATTTGCTTTTGCGTGTTAAAAGTTTTGTCTTTAAATAGCTGGTATCTCTTTAAATTGGACATTTATGTGTCTTTCCGGGGAATGACATCTTAGGGTTTTGATTGCCTGTTTTTGCCTCTATCGGTTGATTGGTAGATTCATAGTTTATCTGTGGAGAACATAGAATTCTGAGCAGTTACTATTTATTTGATCACAATTGTATTAATTTTTCCCAAAGATCGTACCTTCGACTGGATATTTACAAAATTGAGTTGAACCTGTGTATTTTGAGTCACATCATTATATTGTGATGGAAGAAACAGCATTGCTAACTAGGTGCGCTATTAAACAAACTCTCTCTTAATTTTCTTTTCATGGGCACCCATTGTGTTTTCAAAGGGTAAGATTTCCTTTTATGAAGTGTTTGTCGATATGTAGTATCTTTAGTTACCTCGAGTCTCAGTAATCGAGCTGTACATTTTGTTTGTATTAACATTAATTAAGTTTTGCCTATAACTTTCTACCATCTTAGTCCAATTGACGGACTTTTCATGAGAGCCAAAGAGCCTATCAGCTATTTGATACTTGGTCTAGTCTGCCCAATATGCGAAGTGCAGATATGTAGTTAACTTTTTTGGTTAAACAACATATTTGGCAGGATTGATTAAAATCCATGTTTTTCCTTGATACTATGTCAGGAAGAATTTTAAATTAGGGGAAAGTGCAAGCTTTTATGTCATAATAAGATCATCATAATCAGGTTTATATAGCTGTTTAATTTACTTATATGGAAAATTCTGCCTTACGGACAAGGTTGATGTTTACATGTTTCACACTCTTGCATTTTCTTGCACTAGTTACTATTATAAAGAGTTTAAACATCAAATGTGTTTCTTGGGTTTCTCAAACAGGTCGAGACAAGTGGGTTTATGTTTAGTTGCATAACCAACTCTACTTCCTCTACTAGAAGCATCGATTGTTATAGCCTTTGTGGTGACCATCCCAGCTCCTCAGGCTCTAGAACATACACAACTTCATGTGCAAGTTTGCCTGAAGCACGGACACAAGAGAATCCCACATCTGATATGCTAGTGGATTCATTTGGGAGGCTCCATACATACTTGAGGATCTCCTTGACCGAGCGCTGCAACCTTAGGTGTCAGTATTGCATGCCAGCCGATGGTGTGGAACTCACTCCTAACTCTCAGCTGCTTTCTCGTGGCGAAATCGTTCGGTTAGCAAATCTTTTTGTCAGCTCCGGGGTTGACAAGATCCGGTTGACTGGAGGAGAGCCGACTATTAGGAAAGATATTGAAGATATTTGTTTACATCTTTCTAATCTGAAGGGATTGAAGACGCTGGCTATGACCACCAATGGGATAGTTCTTGGTAAGAAACTTCGACTATTAGGAAAGATATTGAAGATATTTGTTTACATCTTTCTAATCTGAAGGGATTGAAGACGCTGGCTATGACCACCAATGGGATAGTTCTTGGTAAGAAAGGTTCCAGCGAAGTTTGAACTGATGACAAGGCGTAAAGGGTATGAGAGGGTATTGGAGTCGATCAACAAGGCTGTTGAGCTTGGGTTCAATCCTGTTAAAGTAGGTGGATTTTTTTGTTTTTAGTTGCATGAAAATGTATATTCTGCATTTCTTGTTGTTTACTTTTGTCTTTTGATTTTTTCTAGTCACTAGCAGCAATCATTTCATGTGACTGTTCTGTTGGCAGGTTAACTGTGTTGTGATGCGTGGGGTAAATGATGACGAGATTTGTGACTTTGTAGAGTTGACCAAGGACAAGCCAATAAATGTCCGGTTTATTGAGTTTATGCCATTTGATGGAAATGTATGGAATGTTAAAAAGCTAGTTCCTTATGCGGAGATGTTGGATAGAGTGGTAAGGTAGAACTCTTACTGATGCACATAATTCTTATGAACATATGTGTGTGTTCGTTGGTATGCATACTTCTGATTATATTAAACTTCAGTTGTTTTTATGTGTACGGAACAGAGACAGCGGTTTGGTCATGTTGAGAGGATTCGTGATAAATCTACAGAGACTGCCAAGAATTTCATGATAGATGGACATTGTGGAACTGTGTCCTTCATCACATCAATGACTGAGCATTTCTGTGCTGGTTGTAATAGATTGCGGATTCTTGCTGATGGGAACTTCAAAGTCTGTCTCTTTGGTCCATCAGAGGTATGTATCCTTCCAAGCATTTATTATTTTGTTTGTCTTTTGAAAATGAATCTGTAATACCTATCAGGATTTAATTTCTTTTATACATTGGTTGTATTCTCTTGTTCGAAATAAAAACGATAGTTCCCTTTTCTGCAACTTCTGATAGGGTTGATAACTATTGAGAATGCTGATATTGGATAGCAACTATTGATGAATTTCTCGAAACGTTTTTTTTACAACTTCCTTGATTGTCAAAATGATACTTTATATTATCTTTCACCGTGGACCTCTATATAAACTGAATATATTCTTCTCCTGAGCTCCTCAAGTGCAATAAATGTTTCGCATATTGACGTATAATACATGTTGCGACAATTAGGAATGTTCTATCTAGTTTGCATCAGTGATCACAACAGCAGCAGAGCAAGGATCTTCATCTAGCATGGGCAGCATCATCTAATACTATTGTATCCAACAAGTAATTTTCAATAAGCTTAGAATGGTGTTGTTATAAACGGATACACCCATCTTTAAGTCGATTAATATTTGGATATGGATATACGTTACTAAACTTCAACTTTAACCAAGTAGGACGAAACCAACAGTATCATTAGTTCTAAGTCTTCACTTTACATATTTAGGGAGGAGTAAATACTTTGACAAGGATAATTGGGAAGGTTAAGCAGCACAATGGCCTATGTACAGAAAGCGTAACTTGCTGGTAGAATTTAACTTCCAAATTTAATATTTCTTACATGACAGCCACGAGTGAGCTTTTATTCTTCATTTAAGCCTTTATGCAGAAATGGTTTGGCTATGACTATAACCATATTGGGAAGATTTCATGAAGGATAAGTTCCATATTCTTGAGGACGTGGAAGATTTTAAAGGATTTTGTGACCTTGACTGACCATCAACCGACATTTTCTTAATTTATTGCAGAAAAAGTTATAAATAAGTCAACTCGTGAACCTATCATAATCATCTAAAATGCTCTAGGAAAACTGAAAAAGAATCATGGATCGTACTTGTATTCTTTCATTCTGCTAATACTGGTTCGTTGACTCTATGATTTAGGATATTGTAAATGTACTATATCGTATACTTCGTCCATGTGTACTATTACTAGTGCATGAATGGACGTGTATCTTTTGATGATTACAATCAGCCTCCATACATGTTAAAAATAAAATTGTACTATTATTTTATTCTGCTAATGCTGATGCAGTGGTGTGTTGTCCTTATAAATATATCACGCTATAAATGTACTATATTATACATTTTGTACATGTTACCAATATAATGTGTATATCAGTTCTCTCATCCTCCTACTCTGATCTATTGCCTTCCTAGATGCAATTAACCCATCCTTTAGTTTCATATCTTGCAATATATGTGCTGATATCTCCTTATGAATGAGATACAATTATTAGAAGGGTAATGTTATATGGTAGACCACTAGTTGGAATCAGGAAGGTCTTTATTGTGCATGAAAGTTGCAAGACTAATTAGGTAGTTGCAATTTCCCTGTGGGAGGGGGAAGAAAAAACTTCCAAGTATATGCTGTGTTTAAAAGAGCAAAACCCCAATTCAATTCAAATATTAAGATAGTTAGGGATGTATATATATAGGCATACAAATATGGGTATGGTTAACGGGTCACAGCCCATTAACCCAATACCCAATAGACTAAATCTAACACTCCCCCTCAAGCTGGAGCATAGATATCCACCATGCCCAGCTTGTCACATATAGTAGAGAACACCTTTGAAGAAGTAGCCTTGGTAAGAATATCAGCAAGTTGTTGTGAGGATGGAGTGAATATGAGAGACACTATCTTCTTCTCCCAAGCATCTCTGACAAAGTTGCAGTCAACTTCAATATGTTTTGTCCTCTCATGAAACACCGGATTTTGTGCAATGTAAATAGCAGATTGGTTGTCACAATGCATAGGCATGGATCCAGACTGAGCAAAACCAAGTTCTGTCATAAACTTTCGTAGCCAAATCATCTCACAAGCAGTGTGAGCCATTGCTCTATATTCGGCCTCTGCACTAGATCGTGATACTACATCTTGTTTCTTGCTTCTCCAAGTCACAAGATTACCTCCAATAAAAATACAGAATCCTGAGGTTGACTTTCGGTCTCCCATGTCTCCTGCATAGCCAGCATCAGAGAAAGCAGAAATGTGAGTATGCCCATGCTTCTTATATAGTAATCCCTTACCAGGACAACTCTTCACATATGCCAAAATCTTCAGAGCAGCTGTCCAATGAACCTCTCTAGGTTTGTGCATAAACCTGCTCAATACACCTACTGCAAAGGTAATATCAGGTCTGGTAACTGTCAAATAGATTAGCTTCCCAATCAGTCTCCTGTATCGTCCAGCATCATCTAGTAGAGAGGTATCATCACGCCACAAATCAACATTTGCCTCCATTGGAGTACTTACAGGTTTGCATCCTAAGAGACCTGCTTCTTCTAATAAATCTAGCACATATTTTCTTTGGGATAATAATATGCCATGCTTTTGATATGCAACTTCAATCCCAAGAAAATACTTGGGCTTTCCCATGTCCTTAGTGACAAAATGACGGTTTAGATACTCCTTAGTCTCTGCTAAGGCAACAGAGTCACTCCCAGTCAGCAGAATATCATCAACATATACGGCTAAAATAACCAAATCAGTTATTGTGCGTCGAAGAAAGACAGAGTGATCAGACTGGCAGCGTTGGAAACCAACACTAGAAATAACCTTGCTGAACTTATCAAACCAAGCTCGAGGACTCTGTTTTAACCCATAGATGACCTTCCTCAGTCTGCAGACAAGATTCTCCCCCTGAGCAACATACCCAGGAGGTTGCTCCATATAGACCTCCTCGTCCAAATCACCATAAAGGAAAACATTCTTCACATCTAGTTGGTGCATCGTCCAATCCATATTAACAGCCAAAGAGAAAATAATTCTGATGGAGTTGAGACGCGCAACAGGAGAAAAAGTCTCAAAATAGTCAATGTCATGTGTCTGTGTATAACCTTTAGCAACCAGGCGAGCTTTATATCGATCAACAGACCCATCGGAGCGATATTTCAAGGTATACACCCATCTGCAACCAACCACAGTCGCTCCAGTAGGAAGAGAGACCAAGTCCCAAGTCCCTCTAGAAAGCAGTGCATTCATCTCCTCATCCATAGCCTGCTTCCAGGCTGGTACTAACATAGCTTCCTCATGTGACCTGGGTATAGATACAGTGAACAAAGACAAAGCAAACTGACGAAAGAATGGGGTGAGACGGTCATAAGAGACAAAAAGAGATATAGGATATTTCGGACAAGACCGTTTACCTTTTCGAAGAGCAATAGGAACATCCAAGTCAGAAGAGATAGAAGTCTCAACATGAGATGGACCTGCAGCTGGAGATGAAGAGTCAGCAGGAGCAGAGGCAGGTGCATGTACTTTAGGACGACGAGAGTATGTCAGTAGAGGCTTCGATGCAGGAGTCACAGGAGCAGATAATGGAATAGTAGTAGGAGCATAAGAAGGTAGTGGTACCTGTGGACAGACAACAGTAGTGGAATCAGATGGAAAATATGGGATAGACTCAAAAAAGGTAACATCAGCAGACACATAATATTTTCTGGTTGGCGGATGATAGCACCTATACCCTTTTTGAGTACGTGAGTATCCAACAAAAACACACTTAATGGATCTAGAAGACAATTTATCCAAACCAGGTGTCAAATCCTGAACAAAACACGTACAACCAAAGACGCGAGGAATCATGGAAAATTGTTTTCTATCAGGATAAAGACAATTGAACGGTATTAAACCATCAAGAACAGAGGAAGGCATGCGATTAATCAAATAACAGGCAGTGAGAACAGCATCAGACCATAAATACTTAGGAATATTCATATGTATCATCAGTGTTCTAGCAACATCTAGAACATGTCGATGCTTCCTCTCAGCAACTCCATTTTGTTGTGAAGTGTGAGAGCATGAAGTCTGATGAATAATACCATTAAGTGCACAAAATTTTAAAACGTCATTTTTCATATATTCCAAAGCATTATCAGTACGAAGAATACGAACAGAAGTAGAGAACTGGGTTTTTATTTCATTAAAAAAAAGTTCAATAACATGTGAGACCTCAGACCTCTCTTTTAACAAATATAACCAAGTCATGCGAGAGAAATCATCAATAAAGACAATGAAATATCGAAAACCCTTCACAGAGGGAACACGATAAGGACCCCAGACATCAGAATGAACTAACTCAAACGCAAAGCTACTGCGTTTATCGACACGACTCTGAAAAGTAGCACGATGGTGCTTACCCAGTTCACACGACTCACAACCTAAAGAAGAAACAGAAGGCTGAACAGAAACTACCGATCTAAGCTTCTGCAGAGAAGGATGACCCAAACGCCAGTGCCACAGTAAGGTAGAGTCAGACTGTGATGCAACAAGACCAGCATCTGGCACACTGTCGTCCAAATAGTACATACCTCCTCTCTCATGCCCCGAACCAATCGTCGTCCCAGTTGCTAGGTCCTGAAAAATACAATAAGATGGAAAGAAGGTAACTTTACAATTATTGTGTTTTGTAAACTTGCTAATGGATAATAAGCTAACAGGGAATTTAGGAACATATAACACATCAGTGAGTTTCAAAGAGGAAGTAGCGTGAACAACGCCATCATCATGAACTGAAGAAAGTGTACCATCAGCAATACGGATAGAGGGAAACTTATCAGAAAGATGTAAAGATACAAAATGATCCTTTATACCTGTCATATGAGATGAGGCTCCAGAATCTAGTACCCAGGGTTTGTAAGGAGAAGCTATGTAAGCATCCATACCTGAAGAGGATGCATGAGTAGCAGAATGACTGTTCTGAGAGAGCTCGAGCTGACGTAACCTCTCATAATCTGCCTGAGAGATCTGAACAGTAGTAGCAGTAGCAGCTGGACCACCAGAAGTAGTAGCAAAAGTAGACAAGCGAGTCGATTCGGCGTTAGCCACCTGGGCCCACTGAGGACGACCAAACTTCTCCCAGCACTTCTCAGAAATATGATTGGTCCTCCCACAATGACCACACTGACGTGAGCCCCTAACAGAATCACCATGTCTTCCACCAAAGGAGCTACGTCTTCCCCCTGAATCACGGCCACGATCACGACCGCGGCCTCTGCCTCGACCGGAGAACATGGCAGACTGATCCACTGAAGGTGGAGACGGTGCAGTAGTAGAAGTAACACCAGTAGAGACCTGCATGACTCTAGAGAATGTAGCAGTCAGTGAGGGAATGATATCTCCACCCAATATCTGTCCCATCACCTGGGACTGTAAGGTAGGGTGCAATCCAGAAAGAAACTTGGACACTGCCAGGTCGCGACGATATCTTAACAGCGTCGCTGCATCAGCTACTGCAGGTTGATGCATCTCTAGTTCGTCTATCAGTCCCTTTAACTCACCAAAGAACTCAGGAACTGATTTATCTCCCTGTTTTAGAGCAAACAGGCGCTCATAGATCTCAAATACACTGGAAACATTCTTCTCATTTCCGTACATAATCTTCAGGTTGTCCCACATTTCCTTCGCAGTGGTTAAGAACATAACACTGCTACTGATTTGTGCTTCCATACTATTGAGAAGCCAAGTCATAACACAACAATCAGACGAGAGCCATGAACTGTAGGTGGGATCTGTGGTGAGGGGCGGAGAGGCCAGAAGATGATTCAATTTGTTCTGAGCGCCAATGAAAATGCGAAAGGCCTGTGCCCAAAGAAGATAGTTTGTGCCATTTAACTTTACAGTGGTTCCCAAGACCACCTTGGGTGCAGAAATCTCAGTAGTAGTAGTGACAGTAGTAACAGCAGAGGAGATATCAGAAGACATTGTCACAGGATACTCAGTAGTAGCAAAAGAGAAGGGTTTTAATCAATGAATCATTTGAGATTAACACATAAGCAGAAAGAATCTCAAGAATCCTCTGTCCGCCCTTTCTGAACTCTCTTTCTTTTTGATTTTTTTTATATATAGGAAACAAAAGGCAGTCAGCCTTAAAAAAAAAGGACAGTTTGTCTTCTCTGGATCTCCTCTCTCTCTCACCAAACGCAAGAAGAGATAGCGTGGATCTAACGGAGAGAAGGTCGTGCGGCTTGAGGAGAGAGCAACGACGACGAAGACAAAGGAGAGGACGGCTAGAGGTTCGCCGGAGAGATCTGGATGAAGTCGTCAGATCTGAACAGATCTAGCAAAGGAGAGGACTGCGACGACGAGAACAAAGGGCAGAGGAGAGGACGGCGATGACGAAGCAGTTGATGATGGTGGGCGGTCCTCTCGTCCTTTAGGGTTTCGAAAGCCTCACTCTGATACCATGTTTAAAAGAGCAAAACCCCAATTCAATTCAAATATTAAGATAGTTAGGGATGTATATATATAGGCATACAAATATGGGTATGGTTAACGGGTCACAGCCCATTAACCCAATACCCAATAGACTAAATCTAACATGCTGGAAACATATGAGCGCTGTTGGGCATATTACTTAGGACAATTATGAAGGCTACGATAAATTCTGGTTCTTGTTTATCATTAATATTACATTGCTACAAATTGCTGCTTTTTTTTTCAGTTTACTTTCATTGTATGTGTATATTTTGAAGGTATGTGGTTGATTATTCCTAGGTTGCTTTGCCTTTTATCTAATTTATTGCCTATGTTTTGGCGTTCTGATATTTATCTTAGCCTTTTTCCTCTCTCTGGTAAAGTAAAAGATGATTTCGCACTTTGGAACTTTTACAGGTAAGCCTTAGAGATCCACTTCGAGCTGGTGTTGATGATCTTGGATTGAAGGAGATAATTGGTGCTGCGGTATGCTTGATTATGTTTGCTCTTTACATTGTTTTTGAAAATTTTCCGCTAGGGTCTTCTTCCTTAAACTTTATTCTCTTAGTCTATTTGTAGTACTCGCTTAGCTACTTTTTTACAATATGAATATGAAATCTCAGTGGCATGTATAACCACCTAGTTAATTGATGATCAACAAAGACACAGCGAGTGGGATTATTTTTCACTGTGTTGTATAGCAATACTATCTTCTCAAATGTGGTTTGTATTTTATCTAGGTTAAAAGGAAGAAAGCTGCACATGCTGGGATGTTTGATATTGCAAAAACAACAAATAGACCAATGATACATATTGGTGGCTGAGGTAAACTCAGAATTTAGTTTCTTCATAGCATGTACTCTTTTCATAAGTCATTGCACTAGTCCTGTATGACAAAGAAATGTAAGTTTTTTCATTTCTTACTAAATATATGAAAATATGATCAGTGCTGAATGATTAGCAAAGATGTTAGACTTTGCAGATCCCACACTACATTTTCCAGAGATTTTTTAACTGCAGATTTCAACCACACTAGTACTGATAGAACCTAAGGTAGTATGGAACTTCTTTGTATGCCTAATAATAGGTGTTAGCTTTTCTAGGTATTAGTTATGACTAGACTCATCGGTTGGACATGAGAGATTGGCTTATGAACATGCATATAGGACATGACCTATTTGAATGCTGATCATATACTGAATACAAGCTTGCAAACATTATAGAAAATCTCTCCTCAGTGGTTTCCTTGTCAACAAATTTCCTACCATCTAGTAAGGTCATCATCTTTACGATCATACAAGGAAACCATATTTTCCTGTGGTTTGTCATCTAATGACTAGTTTCTCATGGGATAAGTTGGGAGCCTCACACTAGTTTATATGCGAGTCTTCATAAATGGATACAGTTATTCTATGAAGTCTATTCATTATTTTACGATTCCTTCTAGGATACCCAGTGCTCTGCAGTCACGTCACCTTTATTAATGAAAGTAACTATCTCATGTTATAAGCATAGCAAGGTAACAATATCATGCATAGGACCATAGGCCTATTCTTCACGCTTAAAAATATGTTTCCATAGCAGGAATAACTCAGTAAAATACATATTTATAGACACGATCTATGTTTCGATAATAACTATTTCATTTAATGCATAGAAAATTTGCCTATAGAGTTGATGTTGCGTTCATTTCCTTTGTCTTACATTCATACTTGTATTCACAGGCGTGCATTTGCGTATTAAAAAGTTGATGCCAGTTTCGTTTTCGATCACTTGCATTCATATGAATGTAACCTACATGGTTTTGCTCATAGTTCTACATGAATGTATTCATAAGACTCATGCTTTTATGTTGCGTTATGATATGTGCGTTTATGTTTATTTGTTGAAATCATTCATGAGAGTAGAAACTTTTAAGAGATGTGCACTGACCTCCAAACCCTAGCTGAAACTTAAAATGCATGAATTGCTAGCGTTGAATAATAGTAGCGTTTTGTGATGATGATTGAAACTAATAAAATGTCACCAATAATTCAGGTCCATATTATTTGAGCATCTCAAGGGAGCGGTCCGTCGTGGAATCACATCTTTTGGCATGTGGTCTAGAGTGCTCCGATAGTCCTGAATTATGCTTTTTTTTTTTTGAGGTTGTGTCCTAAAGTTTGTCTAAAAATTTAGTCTCATATAGAGGAACCAAATATTGGGGTATGTATATTAAAACCCCATGTAATAGTGGCGAATGTGGCGTATACATATCTGGTGTTGTCTTGATTTCCATGTTTCTATTACTGAAAAATTTTCGCATACTTTCTTCCTTGGTTTCCACCTGGCTGGGCTCGATGCTGATTTATTGTCGTGGTTATAACTACTAACACTTAATGTCATACTTTACATTTATACCCGTGTGAAGCTTATGATATAAATTACCGTTGGTTGTCTGAGTGAGGGTCGTATTGTAAATATGTGTTCATGCACGAGTGAGGCTTATGTAATGTTACTGATGACTTTTGGAAGAGGAAAGTATATATAGATATATAATGTTTCTGTAATTATTATCGCTCTTTTCTGTTCATAGAGGGACATGTATTGTTTCTTGTATCTTGTCTTTAGAGGGGGCACGTATCGTTTCCTTGAGTTCTTTTATAGTGGTGAGGGATTCAGGAAAGAGATGGTTATAATTCTCTCTTGGGCTTTCTTTTCTTTTCATCATCGAGTCAAGGATATAGAAAAGTGAACGCAGCTCCTCAAAAAAAAAAAAAAAACATTATTTCTGTATTGTTTGTTTGGTGTATGTGGTGCACGATCAAAGTTGGTCTGCAAATCTCACTGTGTTCAATTGTGTATCTTTGGAAATTTTCTTATTCTATTTGTTTTATCAAGTAAAAGTCAGTATTAATCTCTTCTTTCTTTCTTTCTTTCCCTTTCCAAGCAGATGGAAGCAGGGAACTGTTTGCAATCCCTCACACCCTAAAATTCTGTCGAAATATGCTTCAAAATCTGTGAGTAGACGTGCAAAGTTCCAAACTTCCAACTTCGTTGCCAACAAAATTCTTTTGTTCACATTTGTTATGGCTAAAATACCAAATTGGTATATTTATACGAACGTTTTTGTCAATTTGGTATTTGTAAAAACTCCGGTAACGACAAGGCATTAAAACTCGTCCTTTTTGTCAATAAGACATCAAAACTCTGGCGAGAAATTTTTTTTATTTAAAACCCCTTCTCTCTCCAAATTATTAAATTTGTGCCCTCCCTCTCCTCCTCTCTCATTCCCCTCTCCCTCTGGTGACTCCGGGGACAGGCCCATCTTTAGGATCATGACAGAGTTGGTGTGTGGCGAAGAGCAGCGTGAGTGATAATGTGCTCCAAGATGAACCATGCTGCCTCTTCGTTTGGACATTTTGTTGAATTCATTGCGTGTTTCCACTCTAACGAATGCTTCATCCAATGAATGCATGCTGATACATGCCACCCTTTTGTGTCGAGAGTACGAACAATGTTTTCAGATGGGTATCTGTTCGAGGATAAGATTTTATCACATGAATCATCGAAGATTTTTTTGTTAATGACTTCTTATTGATTTTCGCTTCATGACTACAACTCGCATTTTTACAGTATGCTTGACATCATTTATGCATGGTGCAGGTAATTTTTGCTGTTCAGCAGCAAAAACTTTGCTCCTAGTTCATGTAATCAACGAGAGAGGAGGAGGAGGAGGAGGAGGAGGAGAGGGAGGGGATGAGGGGGCCGAGGTTGACCCAGAGGAGGGAGATGGGGACGGAGGAGAGGAAAAGAAGGACGATGATGCGCTGGAGGGAGAGGGGAATGGGAGAGGAGGAGGAGGAGGAGAGAGAGGACACAAATTTAATAATTTGGGGAGATAAGGGGGTTAAAAATAAAATTTCTCGTCGGAGTTTTGAGAAAAGTGCTTTATTGACAAAAAGTACGAACTTTAATGGCTTGTTGTCGCCGGAACTTTTACAAATACCAAACTGACAAAATCGTTCGTATAAATATATCAATTTGGTATTTTAGCCCATTTGTTATTGTTATTGTTAAGCTTTGGCGACTTAATTAAAATGTGTGTTTTGGTGTACTTATTTTAAAATACTTAAGGGCGTGGGGGACCGTGGGGGACTGATATAGAAAAACTCAAAATTACGTAGCTTGATTGCCTAAAGTTGAAATTCAAATTATTAGGGGGTTATCTATAATTTACCCATAGGAAAATAAAAGCAGCCGCTCTATCAAATTTCTGCACTCAGAGAGTCGCTTCAGCTAATTAGTGATAGGATTAGTGCTGAAGAAAAATATAGGGCTAGGGTTTCAGAAGTACTTCCAATGCTCACGATGGCTTTCTCTCTTCCAGCATTTCAAGTAATTTTCTCTTTAACTTTTTTTTGTGGATGTTACTTTTTAAAAATTAGGGTTTCATTTTATTCAATTTTTACTTTTCTTTCTCTACTCATGACAGAGAATACAAGTCAATTGCAAATTCAATTCAACTATCAGGGTGTTGGAACTAATTCATGTAGTGCAGGGGAATGAAGAGAAATAGAATTGCCTTTGTATTTTTATTAAAATTAGAGGGAAATGGTTGAAACATGTAAAAAAAGCTTAGTTTTTATGCTAAATTTCAATGCTCTTTTAATTGTCAACTCTCAATTTTTAGGTGTCAAATTATTGATGGGAAGTCAACTTGATTGCCACTACAGAAAAAAAGAGGGAATTGGAAAGACGGCAGTAGACAAGGAATTTGTTGAGAGTGAAGAAGATGCGAATGGAGAAAACAAAATTATCGTTCATGAAGATGATGTTAGCTTGGTCACTTTTGTTTATGAGGGGTTAGCATCATTTGTTTGTCTCCTTTTCGGAATAAAGGCCTTTTGGCAGATCGCCTACATAAGGGGATAGAGAACTCCAATGAAAAGAAAAATCAACGTTACAACAATAATCACACACCAAAACCTTCTAAAGGGGAGAAAAAAACATGCTACTGCTAAGCTAAGCTCAAATACTTGTTATGTTTCCTTTTTGTTGTTGGTATATGTAATGCCTCGCCCCGGAATGCCGGAGTTGGTACGCTATTAGATCTGATGGACTGGCCTCACAAACCACCACATGTCTTTTCAGCACGTTTTTGTCCTCACTCACGCGCTCCCTGGAAAACTTCCCGGGGGGTCACCCATCTTAGAATTTCTCCAGGCCAAGCACGCTTAATTTTGGAGTTTCTAAGAGTTGGGTACCCGAAAAGAAAATGCATCTTGTTGGTATGAGTATTCCAATCAAATCGATCAATACTAATCACATCACCCTCTCAAGGGTTGAGGTATTACAGTATATGTGGTGTCATTTTGATAATTGATCATTTAGTTATTGGACTTGGGTTTGTGTTGTTTGCATTTGTGTCGCAAGACTTTCAGCCTTCTTGGTTATCCATCACTCTGGATTTTAAATTTGCCCATATCCTTGTATTATATGATGAGTACTTAACTATTGAACATGGGTTACTTAACAGATAACGGAGGAGGCATAATTGTTTTACCTGTTATAGTGGGAATAATCGTATGCCAGTTACTGGCCATATTCAGGTGTAAATTTTAATATAATTCTGTGCAACTGTGTAAAAGTTGTTGTGCTAACTATAATAATAAATTAGTGATTTTTCACCGAGATCTTGAGAACCGTACATTATTCTGTGTTCTATATACTCTTTCTTTGTAGCTGCTCTAGACTTTTTCTCTCGAAGAAAATTGCTTCACGATCTTGTATATTTCTTGTTCGCGTTGTTAATTATATTTTTTTTTCACTTTTATTCTTGAAATGCATCTGATAGCTTTTAAGAACATGTAATTCGTACATTCACATTTATTGAAAGGATATGTATTTTCCATAATATTTGCTGTCATACATTGTCATTGACTGTTATGATTTCTGCTCTTTTGTCACACCTTTTATCTCTAAAGGAGTTCCACAGGAAATTATATTATTAGGTTCGGGCTCGAACTGCAAAAAATGGAAAGTGAATCAGCGGATGTACTCTTTTTCAAACATATAGAACTCAGATTGGATTATGACATATAAAGTGAAGTAACCATGGATTCCTTCGGAAGAGTATGAAACAAATTTGTAAAGGAGGTATTTAACAAATTTAATTATTTATTCATTTTGATCTGAAACTCATTTTCTTCTTATTATAAGTTAATTAAAACCCCTGCATATAAAGAGGATTAGAATAGCATTGATCGCCAAATAAATCTGACTCACCATAAAATTCTAACAATGTTTATATTTAGAACTAGTTCTCATCGGAAGATCTCTCGTACCCACCCACCCACACACACTGACACACACACAATCATATACACATAAATGGCAAAAGAGAATAATATCCATACAACATCTATGTTGAGGTAACTGATCGTAGTTTCATATTTGGCTTAAATAGCAAGTCAAAAATTATCTTACGGGGCTGTTTGGTTCGTTTTTTAACTCGGTGGAAAAGTTTTACACCGCCTCTACATCAGATTTTTCATAGCCACGTAGGATATAAGCTTTCCGTCGGTTTTTTTTCTCATCTTTGGTTCACTAGAGTTAAAGAAGGAAAACTCGTTGAAAATCGCCGTCACATCAGATTTTTTTCTCTCCCCCAATTCCTTCCTCAACCTCGTGAAATCGACGAAAACTGCAGCCACGTCAGCTTTTTGCCATATAAACAAAAGTTTTCCCTTTTTTCCATGCGAACCAAACACAAGAAAAATAAATACATTGGTTTGCCACCATTTTTTTTGTGCGAACCAAAGCGAAACAATCTATTTCTTGGAAAAGTTTGGAAAACTCAAAACTTATGTTTTTGTACATGGAAATTGTTGAGTTATTTAGATAGATTAGGCTAATTAGTTAATATTGTAGGGGCCTATTTGTAAGAGTACATTAATATAAAGGGTACCTCTTTGTGAGAAAAGGTAACCTAATTTTCACCCCAAATCTCTACATGGTATCAGAGCTTGGGAGACCGAGCAAACCCTAGCCGTCAGTTCCCACCAGACTACCCCCCTCTCTCCGTTCCACTCCATTCTCCCCTTTCTTTTCCGAGCGCGTCAAGGCCCAACCCCGCACCCCTCAGCCCTCTCGACCGCGCCCTCGTCGAGCTCCTCCGGCGGTGAAGTGCGAGATCAGGGCCAGGGGGGGGGGGGGGGGGGGGGGGGGGAGGGGGGGGGGGGGGGGGGGGGGGGGGGGGGGGGGGGGGGGGGGGGGGGGGGGGGGGGGGGGGGGGGGGGCGTGATAAGGAGACCATATTTTCGGGCAACTGCTGATGCCCTGCT